TTTTCAACAGTATTTTGAGTTGAAATAGGTTTGTCCTGGTCCTTGACAGTGGAGGTAGATCATGTAGCTGGTGAGGCAGAGTCTGTTGCTTCCATGGGAGCTCTGCAGAGGAGAAATTTGGGAAGGCAAGACAGACAAGGCTGAGATCATTGCTATATGCATAATTTGCTTTCTTTTTTTCTGGACTGCCACCAATATATTTTCACGCCAGGAATTACACTGCCAAAATGTACGCTTTCAAACAAACCATAGCCCAAGTCTTATCTTCCAAAGAAGCTGACAACTAGTTTAAGCCAGTAATCAAGGTTTATCATAGTCCATTCAAAAAGAATTGGGTTGGTTTTTGTTTGGTTGGGGTTTTTTCGGTCTACTTAATTATTTGAGACTTTAAATTCTTGCCAGTTTCTCTTACCAGTGGATTTTGTGTAAGTTGACTTTGTTTTCTTTCACTAGCTCTAGGGGAAATAATTTTATTAAGAAGTCTTCCTTGATGCTAGAATTTTAGTTCCCTTGAAATGTTATTGTTTGCCAAAGTAACCTAGCACTAGATCTAAGTAGTTGTGAAGGAAACGTGCATTTGATCATTGAGTTCTAAAATTAAATTAGCCTGATTTTTATGTGCCTGTTGCACGTAGGCAGTAGAAGTATAGATTGCATATACTGAATTGGTTTGAAACACCTTTTAATTACTAAGATCTGTATTTTTTTTCCTTCATGTTTAAAATACGCACTTTATGATGAATTAATGGTATTTTGTAAACTAAGTGTTGACTGATTTTGAGGACTTCATTGGGTTGTTCAAAATCAGATTGACACACTATGTTCTCTTTCTACACTTCTTAAAAATATTGAATGGATGCATATTTTATGTTGTATTGACAATATTTTAGAAAAAGATAAATAAGAAGGCTGGAACTTCAGTCACTCTTGTGTCATGTGCTTCTGATACACAGGTATTCGTGAGTGTGCGTTACACAATTATGAGGTGATGTTAAATACAAAAACTAGATTTAGTGTTCGCTTCCTCTGTTCTGTGCTACAGTTGGTCCTAGGTTTTCTGGGTGTTTAGACTTAAAGTAAAAAACATCTGCGGTTGATGCATTTTGCTTTTTCTTTCATTGTACATCTGACTGCCACTAGATGGTGATAGATGTGTGTGCAATATTAACAACTGCATGTCAGTGAAGACTGGAGTTCATTTTCATATAACCCTCAATAACTGACTCGGAAATCAATAGTTACTAAAATAGTGTAATTTTGATTTACCCTGTGAGTGAGAGCATTTCATGGGGCTTTTCATAGCAAAGAAGGATGCTGCCTGGTATCCAACATGCCTCTGCTTATAGCAGCAGGCCTCCTGTGCTGCACTTGTAGTCAACTTTCAGAAGAGAGCAGCTCTCCTAAAAGCAGTTCTGCATGAGGACTGTTGCTGCAGTCAAGGTTTTTGAGTTCTCTATCCAGCACCTTGGCCTACTTAATCAAAGAAGTAAAGGGCATGGTTGAAGGTAGGGAGGAAGTGTTTTCCTTTGGAAAAATTACCTTCTAGGAAAGAAACGAAGCACCATTACGTTCTAGGTGAAGAGGCTGACTGTATGTGTTCCTGAGCAGTCAGCAGAGGATCATTTAGTCCTAAGGTGCTTTTCTTTCAAGACAATAAGGAATTCTTACCTTTTATTGTAACATAACATAACGTAAAATTGCTTCTATTCTGGTTAGCCCCCTGCCCTAAAACCAGCACCACTAACTGACATGTAAACAAAGCTACATCAAGTGCAATTGCTTCAGTAATTTGAAGCTGGTCCTTTTTTGTCTGTGCACTGGGAAATAATAATGTAGACCATTAGAAAACCAGATCTCCGATACATAAATGTTAAACTAAACATCTGCTGCATAGCAGCAGATTATTTTCTTAATGCACCCCAAATTTTAAAGGATTGTCCAAGTTTTATATTAAAAAAAAAAAATCTTTCATATTTAGTTGCATGTTTCATTCACCTTGTCTAAACATCTTAAAATTATTTCTGAGGTCTCTAGATTAACTTTTTCCTTCTAATTGTTGTCGGTCAGTTACGAGCACATCTGGTGTTAGTAGAGATTCATATTCATTGCCCTTCATCTTTCTATGTTCAGAGTTTTCAATACAGTATGTAATGAAATAGAAGTTAGATGTTTATTTTATAGAAGTTTTAAAGAAGTTCAATACAAAACTTGAACTAAATATTTAATTCCACTGGGAATAATTCTGAATGTGGGAAAACTTGTACAGCATTGTGTAGGTGTCTTTCTGTTTGAAGCAGCAAGGTTAGTTTCAAGTAACTGTCAATGTTTTAGTTGTAGATAAAATAGAGAAACTATTTTGGAGTTTTTTTGTCACTGCCTCAATGCAGATGCAATTGGATTTCTTTCCCTCTGTTTAATACAAATTTTCTTATCCTTTTTTAGAATCGCCAGATGCTGATATTGCCATGGAGGTAGCTACATCAGAACAGCATGTTTCTGAGGCAATATATGATTGTGTTATTTGTGGACAAAGTGGTCCTTCTACTGAAGACAGACCTATAGGATTAGTTGTACTGTTACAAGCATCCTCAGGTAGGAATGTGTGACATGTTGGACAAGCAGTGTTTCTGCAGCTCTTAATATGTGTGCATAAATACTGTTGTGTCTCATGGAGCCTGGAAAGGCAGTCTCTTCTTTTTTTGTGGATGGTCCTCCGTGAGACACGTGCGTAGGTCTAAGGGTACTGAGAAAATTTTCAAATGTTTGGGAAAAGAGCAGTTTCATTCCCTCCTAGTTCCTGTTAGCTTTTGCAAACCCAGCAGTATATAATAGACCTGCAGGAAAATAGATATTGAAAGGAAAAGAAAATAAAGTAGCCATCGGTGTGCCTATATGTGTGTTTGTGTATGTATATATACTTTATGTACAAGTGCAAAACCACAACTTTCAGTATTTATATATATGTGTCTGCAGGGTTGTGATCTTATTGGCATCACAGAGATGTGGTGGGATGGCTCCTATGACTGGAGTGTTGGAATGGAAGGAATACAGGCTTTTTCGGAAGGACAGGCTGGGGCGACGAGGAGGGGGTGTCGCCCTCTATGTCGATGACCAGTTGGAGTGCATGGAGCTCTGCCTGGGGATGGATGAGGAGCTGACCGAGAGCCTGTGGGTCAGAATTAAAGGGAGGGCAGGGACAGGTGACATTATAGTGGAGGTCTGCTACAGGCCACGCGACCAGGAAGACTGAGCAGATGAGGCCTTCCATAGACAGACAGGAGCAGCCTCACGTTCACAAGCCCTAGTCCTCACTGGGGCCTTGAGCCACCCCAATATCTGTTGGCAGGACAACACAGTGGGGCATAAGCAATCCAGGAGGTTCCCGGAATGCACTGATGATAACTTCCTTCTCCAAGTGACAGAGGAGCCAATGAGGAGAGGTGCTATGCTGGACCTTGTTCTCACCAACAAGGAGGGGCTGGTGGGGAATGTGAAACTCAAGGGCAGCCTTGGCCACAGTGACCATGAAATGGTGGAGTTCAAGATTCTTAGGGCAGTGAGGAGGGTGCATGGCAAGCTCACTACCCTGGTCTTCAGGAG